CTCCGACCATGACAGCGGCGTAGGCGTAGGTTCTCCCCTGACCGGCGCTATTGTCTTCCTCCTCTAGTCCTCACTCAATGTCATAGTAGGGCACCTCGTCTGCGCCACTTCCCTCCATCGTTAGTATCAAGCTATCTTTGGCCTTGATTTGGTCGGAGATGGTGCGCCCCTTCCACATTTTTCCTTGTGACAGATCCTTGTGCTAGAACGTGGTAACTGGCGACACTTGGGCGACAAATGCAACTGCCTCCCGACTGAGAGTGTCGTAACACATGCCCTGCTGGTTCTTCTTCTCGAAGAAATGTCCCTGAATATTTTCAGGGAGGGCACGATAGAAGAGGTTAAGTAGTTGGGCATCAGTTACTCCATGCCCAGGGACTGCAATCAATTCGTCCATCGCAGACTTGAGGGCGTGAACACTCTTCCATTTGCGAGTGTATATCATTTGCAGCTTATTGGAGGCCTTAAGCCCCCTCGTCACATCTGAAAATTGCTCCCTGAGCGATTTCAGGAACCCGGAGAGGGGCGTCAGTCTAGAATGGGTAACCATATCGTTCTCGCAGTTTGCAGCGCGGGCGAACGACCTAGCAAAGCTGGTCGCCTCATCTCAAAGGGCCTGGAAGGCCACCAAAACGTGGTCTTCAAGCGTGACTCCCTGTAAATATAGATAGGAGTGCACATTGGCCTCCCAGTTATCGAAAACCTCTCCCTTCTTTCCACTGAAGGGTTCGGGGAAACGGACTTTGACCTTCTCGCGACGTGGTGGGACTGACTCCTCTTCCTTAGGAGTCGCTAACTTGGCACCTTCAATGGCGCCAGTACATAATTCTTTCGTCTTACTAATTGCCAGGTGGACCTGGTCCACCAGGTACGTCATCATATCACGCGTGAAATCTTTAAACCCAACGCGTATCGCATCTATCTTTACATCTAAGCTGCGGATGTACTGCGTTTGCTCCCGATTTGCAATTAGTAAAGATTCCACACTCTGGGTCAGGGTATCGAGTTTAGTGGCTATCTCAGTCTCTTCCCTGATCTTCCCCATCCTGGTCTCCGCTGCTTTCAGGTCCCTTTCTGCTCGCTCTGCCGCCTCCAAACGCCCAACTCTTTCTTGGGACAAACGCCACTTCCATGCCCTTTGTTGTTCCTCCTCTTTCGCCTTTCTCCTCACCGGGTCCCTTTCTGCTTCTAACTCTCTCCTTGCCGCTTCTCTCTCTGCTTGGGGTATGGCCAGCTCGGCTTCCCTATCTTCTCCCAACTCCAAATGTGTGGTCCATTCTTATGTGGTATTTTCAATCTCCTCCTCCTTACTCGTACTGGCTCGACCTCTTCTCCTCTCCAGTGGTACTTCTTCTTCCACCTTCCTTTCTTCTTCTTCTTCTTCTTCTTTCTCCACCTCCGCTTGTATGGTTTCCATCTTCTCCTCTTGTTCCTTCGTCCATTTCTTCAACTCCTCCATCTGCTTCTTCTTCACTTCTTGCTCCTCCAACAGGGCCAGCATCTTGGCCTGCTTAATCAGTTCCCTCCTCTCCATTCACTCCTTCCTCTCTCGCAGGATAGCGGCAGCTCTCTCCTCTTGCTCCTTGCCGTAGGGGGTGGTACTAGTTCCAGACCTGAGGTCTACCATGGCGATGGTGCACAATCAACAGCAATTCCGCGCCTCAACACGTATGCCGCACAGGTTAACTTGTTTCTAGAGGGCTTGTACTCTCTACTCGGGTTGGACTCACAACTCTACAGTCACATCCACGGAGTCCTATAGACCTGGACAGAAGAGAATGGAGGATATGACTAACTGACCTAACAGACATGACGTCAGCAGGTACCAAGGTGAAGGTGCACATCCACGGGGTAAGGGGATAGGCGAGGGCTTGGAAGGATGGTACTGGTAATCTTCTTGCTCCAGCTGGGTCGACGCTCCGGTCAACGGTCTTGGTCAACTCATCGGTCAATGCCCTGGCCAACTTCGGTCAACGCCCGGTCAACATCCTTGGTCAACCCTTGGTCAACTCCCCTGGTCAACCTTCCAACCTTCCGGCTATGGTGGACCTTCTTCTTCTTTGTCAAAACTTCGTCTTCTTCACCTCGGCTATGGCTGACTTTATCTCCTTCTTCGGCACTTTCTTCTTCCTTACCTCTGCGTCTATCTCTTCTTCTTGCTGATCGTCTTCTTTCCCGAGCTTGGCAGCTATGGCTGTCGTCCCCCCGTCTCTCTCTTCCTCTCTCTCTCTCTCGCTCTCTCTCTCTCTCTGCCGGGCTCCGGCTATGGCGGCTTCTCCTTCCTTCTTAGCTCGCTGCAGCTCCGCCGGCGTGGACAACAGGTACCAGCTCTGATACCATCTACGCTGGGTGGAGAGATTTCATTAGGAAACAATATTTTAGTAGCTTATATGCCTTGGGAAGGATATAAGCCGGTGTCTCTCTCGCTGGTTCGCCATGGCCGCTGTCTTCTTCACAGCCCACTTCTTCTCCGGCCACCTGCAGTCCTCCACACACAAGACACCAAGGCAGCTCTTCCGCATGGCACACAGGCGAATGAATGAATGGCTGGACGCTGCCTCTTTATTTATACTTCTTCGGAGGTACCTGGGCCTGCCTCAAAACGTGTGGGCCTGGGCCAAAACGTGTGGCCCAGGGAAGCTTCCAGACGTTTGGCCTTCTGGCCAAAACGTGTGGAACCCACAGCGTGGTCCAGAACCCTCCCCACGTGCAGCCCCTACCCCTGGTACTTGCTGACTGGACTGGCCTACAGGGACCTACGACCTTCTAGAGCCTACAGACTTACAGACAGACTCTAGGCCTCAGTAGACTCAGATAGAGACTTCTAGAACAGACCTTCCTTCCTAAGCCTAATGGTAACAGACCTAACTCCTAATTTACAGATCTAGGGATCAAGTCCTACTGTCCGACCTACAGACTAGCCTAGGACGTAGGGCAGGTCTAGGGATCGAATCCTACTCAGGTCACTGGGTCTATGTACAGGTATAGGATAGGTCTAGGGATCGAATCTCACTCAGCACACAGGTTCAATGTACAGGGTTAGGGCACAGGTCTGGGGATCGAATCTCTGTGTCTGCAATGTCGGGTCAACTGGGTGAAACCGTTTCACTCTTGTTCGGAGAGGGTATACTGTCGGTTACAACCGTACATAACACAGGACAATCAGTCCCTTAGTCCTAACTCAGAATCTTTCTATACCTTTGAAAGACTCCTTTTCAACAAGATAATCCTTGTTGTCGGATAGGCCTGAATTACTAGCGCTGCTTAGTCCTTGATCTACATGCTGTCCCTTTCAGTGACATATCCTCATGTAGCGTCTATGGTGGCTCGAGCAGTTAGCCGTACACAGTGTTGGTCAACTGTCCTGATGAGCAAGTTACTCATGCGATTGGTTGAGCGGACTTTGGGCTTCCTTCCTAGCAGGCTTTTAACGTTTCATAGAATGGACCTGTTTGTAGTCTGTCTCTAGTGTGCTTTTCCAGTGAACCTCGAACTCTGTTTCCATGATGTGTCATGCCTCCCTTCATGCTGAGCATGCATTTGTCTGCTCCGTCTGAATGAATATAATGCAGAAATGCTTCCGTCTTGACCATAGTGTTGCTTTTCTGATCAGTTGAAAAGCCTGCAGATGGAAAGCTGAGAAGGTACAGGGTGGCTTGGGAAATACTAGTATGGAGATTATGCAAATATACAAGAAGCCCAAGATTAACTCACCAGGAATCGATCCTATGACCTGCCACCGAAGAGGTGGATGACTTAACCAATAGAAAAAGTGAGCTGGGATGAAGGCGAAGCACCTTGTGGGACATTTCACCCCACCCCAGCATGGAAGTACATCCATGACCTGGTGTACCCAGACTCTACTCAACCCATGTGCCTTGCGGAGATTATGTCCATAGGTAGAGGGGAGTGAGTGAGGAAAGCCCAGTTTTTTTTGGTTTTGTCCCACAGCTCAGGAGACAGTCCATGACATCCTCTGGAACTTCCTTGTCACATGCTAGAGCTTTCTGTGGTCTTTCTGCCTCTCTTCTTTCTTCGTTGAGGCTGAAAACTTCTTATCTTGTTCGGCCTTAGTTGTCTGTGACGGCTAAACAAAAAAAAGAAGGTTGCTGGTAGCTGCTCGATGAGACTGTATGGAAATGTATCAGTATCCTAGATTCCTACCGTCTTTTTTCGCCCGAATACAATGTACGGTCACTATTTGCTGTATCTAGACTCAATGTTGTCCCAAATACAGCTATAATAACCATACGTTGTGTATTCAAAATTCTTGCGCCCATCTTTCTGCAATTACTCTTTGTTGATCCTCAAGGTTTCTGGTTCTTCTCTTTTGTGTTTTTGAATTTGGACCATTCGCAATTTATGCGTCTCATCCATGCGCAGGCCCTTGCTAATCTTCTCTGTATCATTCGAATTTTAATGGATGTCCCAAAGAGCTTATGAAGTGCAGTCTAGCTGGCTCTCCTGTCCGAAAAGAAAGCCAGCTTCTTTCCTTTTCATTGTTTCATTCTGTCTGTGAAGTTGGGCACTGAGTTCCATAGGAAGGTGGATTGGAGGTCAACTCAAAGTTTGTTAGCACAGTTCGCTGGAGGAAGGAGGTCAGTCGGCTCAACGTTTGTCAATGAAGGACAAAAATTTTGAATTTGAGGGGGAAAAAACAAAAGCCAGAGAGCGGAACTGGAATATGCCTTTTGGGACCTCTCTGGTGCCAGGGTCAGACGTTTAAATGCTCCTACTCCGACTGTCCTCATTCTGGTGTCTGGATGGGTCTGGTATCTGAAGGGTTCAGCATAACCATGCTAGTATGTTGTTTGGATTTATTTCTGGTAATGGCAAGTATTTCTGGTAATGGCTAGTATGTTGTTTGGATTTATTTCTGGTATGGTGCTAGTATTATTTGAATGAAAGGTACTGAAGAGGAGGTTCTTGCAGCTTTTTCTCCCTCGATTTACAGGGAAAATGGTGGGATTGCAGGGGAATTTTCGTTATGCCGGCAGCTGCGAGAGGGTGAGAGTGAGTTAAGCGCTGTCGCATGGAAACTGATACTCGTCGAGTTATTTCGTTGTTGCCTGGAAAGTTATGGAAATTGACGCTTGCCGCCATCTGTGTGATGGACAGGTGGGTTACACAGCCATAGTATCGCAGTTAGTGTTCAGTAACTGCTCACGGAGAGTGAATTTCCCATGGCCAAGTGGGGGAGGATACTTTGACAGAGATGGGACATTGCACAATCAACCAGGGACCACTCTAGTGGCCACGAATGACATCCTCTTCAATGACGAATGTCCCATACTTCTTAACGAATTCTTCACCAACGCCTCAATCTGTAATCAGGGGATTGTTGTTCGCTCAGTGGAGCTGACGAACATTCGTCCAGGTGGACTTATTCCACGACTGCTGAACGTTACTACTTCCAAAGCTGGTATCTTCAAGGAGATGCTTGTGCCGTGGGCTGATGATGCCTATGGGTTCATGATAGCCGCAGCGAGAGTGTTCAGATTGAGCTGGGTACGAGTGGGGAGGCTGGACCCTTCAGATTTTGTCGTCCGTGCCTCCACGCGCACCTGGGAAAAAAGTGACTATCTGATGCTTGTTTCGAGGCAGGCGAGGGCTGCAGATCATTATCACGTCTATTATGACGATATGAGAGAAGTGGCTGCCTTGTCAGGAATGCCAGTGCCACAGGACCCTCATGGCTCGCACTACTTTGATAGGACGTTTGGAGGAGTGCAGAATGACACATCCTTCAATATGCTGATTGCTGGTGACAGCTCCTCCAAACTGAAGATGGTGAGGCACTTCTGTCCAGACGTCGGATGTACGTTGTACTCAGGATTGTACTTCTTCCGTCCCGGAATACTCCCTTGGTCAGATCCTGAAACTTGGGCAGATGTCAACGCCCGAACGCAAGGAATGATGCCTGAAGAAGGGTGGGATGTTTTCATTCCAAACGGGTGGACAGTACAGCTAGACATGTCACCACCTCCCTTGGGTGTTCTCACCATTGAAGGTACGTGCATTGATCAGAATGGGGCAGTGAAATGTTACAGGAACACCCCACCCCTTGAGCTCTACATTTTGCAATTTGCAGCAACCACATTCAGAAAATCCACTCTATACTACAAGTCGACTTGTGGACACCATTTCACAATAAGTGAGGCATGGGGCAAGGGATTTTTCAAAGAAATGAAGGCAAAGTTGGCAAACAGATGACACAAATGAAAGCATTTGACAGGAATGAGTTAGACCCAAGAAAATAATGAGAATGGGATATCATGCAGGAAGAAAAAAAGGAAACAGCGTGGGGAGTGGAGTTCCTTTCTTTTTTTGTTTCTTTTCAAAAAAGGCAGAAAACAAGGCTCCATAGCAAGTAACAACATGATAGAAAACCTCTGGGACCCCTCTAACCCGGATATATCCGAAAAGGAAGCTTTAGAAAAGAGGTGAAATTGCCTAATCTCTTGATGCATCCCTATATGGAAGGGTGGGATGTTTTCATCCTCTGCTCCAACCCGGACAGCGTGCCAAACAATGCTGCCTTACCTATACAAGAGCACCATGCCAAACAGTGATGCCTTACCTAGACAAGACTTCATCCCTTATTCCAACCCAGACAAGAGTAGCATGCCAAACAATGATGCTTACCTAGACAAAACGATATCTCTAGAGCAAGCTGCCGAACTAGAAAAGCCACTTCCCTTACAAGGAGTGCAAGAGGCACCAGAAAGAATGTCAACGAAGAGCATCGGGTATAGATGGCATGACAAAGGAATTGTGGTCTACTTGTGGCCGACTCCGGGCGAAGATTTATTAAACTTTTTCAACGACAGCTGGTCCAAAGGGGAACTAAGAATTTTTCTGAACACTAGCATGGTTTCTCTTCTCCACAAGAAAAGTGACAAAGAGGACGCTGCATTGAGCCTCACTGCTCGACACCTTGATCACACACACACAGTGAGAGATCACATGAAATTCACACTGGAGTCCAGAGATGCAAAGTCCAGATATGCGCAGCTTAGAAATTCCAGCAAATTATCATATTAAACAGTTTCGGAGTTTCAGTCACCAAGTGCTCAACAGCGCAGAGTCCAGCAACCCAATACCAGCATCCTCATCTAGGTAGGTGGCTCTCTTCTCTCCCTGTCTCTCTCTCTCTCTCTCCCTCTCTCTCTCTCTCTCTCTCTCTCTCTCTCTCTCTCTCTCTCTCTCTCTCTCTCTCTCTCTCTCTCTCTCTCCCCCCTACTTGAGAATCTTTACTCTGAATACATCCGCTACTAATCAGCTCTATCTCCTACTAGCTATGCGGCTATGGCCGCCTTCCCTCTCAGCACAGTGCTGCCCAGCAGGGCTTTCACGCATGCCACTCGCAGATATCGCACAAGCGCTTCAGCAGCACTTCCACACTTCTCACGAATGAGCATTCTGTCTGAAATGTGGCTGGCCAGTCCTTATATTGACTTGGACTGAGCTTCAACTCGTCCCAGCCTCTGCTTCTTTTGGCTTGACTTGGTATTGGTACCGCATGCCCACGGCCTGTTTGCTTCAGAATGTCAAGGCCTGGTATTTTCCCGATTTTTTATTTTTTTTTAATTTTATTTAATTTTATTTTATTTTTTAACCCAGGATTGTTGTAGAGGTCGGAAGCCCAGCCCGGCAGAGCAGCCCTCAGTCGTCATCCATTCTGGTTGCCTGGACGGTATATCGAGAACCCTCCCTGTATCCCTGGTAGGTCCATCGCGAGTCGAACCTACGGACACGCCACCGTCTTACTGGT